AAGATGGTGCTATCTTGCCCGCTCTGGATTACTCGCCGTGTCCTGCAAGAAAATGGTGTTCTTTTCCCTATAATAAATCCCTTATTGATCAAGCTTGTTTGGTCAAGAAAGGAATTATCATATTGTCTTGACTCCGTCTCGGTCTCATTAACACCCAAAAAAGAACTTGGCCAATATCCCGCCATCTTGACTTCACGCTTGGTCAGTAACCCATATCAGTATTAACTCTGCAAACCCAGTAATGGAATGGTTAGGAAATGGTTAGCAAAGCAAGGGACTAAATGACAGGAATTGCTCCGCCGAGCTAAAATGAACAGTAATGCTGTAAGCGGCCTGAAAAGGGTTAGCCGCCTAAATACCATGCAGTTAGGTCCAGTTTGCCTAATATGATGGCAATCTCTCTCTCTCTCCCTAAAAAGCACTCCAGTTAGTATAACATAAATCAGTGCTTCGGTGATCAGATACTATTCTTAAAACCAGAATAAAACCCGCGTATAAGAACCTGGATTTTTCTATATACGCATATATAAATGTATAACAGGTTCTTTGAAATCCATGTTCTTATATTTGAATTGTTACATTAGAACAGAATCTAGTTATAGAGGGAAATGTTTAGGAAGGCCGGTAAACATCAAAGAAGCAAACAAACAGGCTAAGATTTATGTTTTTTTTTTTGTAATTTAACAATTCTTTTTTATTTCTTTATTATTTACATTGACAATTACATCTTTTGTTTTATGCTCATTGACTATGCATGAATTTCATAGTCGCCATGCTTCTATTGGCTGGTTGTATGAGCACACGCAACCACCTTTTATACTTTGCCAGGTTTTGAGTAGGGTCAACCCCCAAAATAGCCATCAAAAACACACAACAAAGAACTTTGCCAATTTTCTAGCCATTTCCCTGAATAAACTATGAACACAACAAGAGCTAGAGGATAAACTTGTACGAAGTTAGAAGTATCATCCAAATCGACCAAGTCAATAAATACACTTATTTAACTCTTTTTAGTTTGCGAAATCTGAATTTTTGGAGCACCAAACCCCCCCCCCCGGGGGGGGGATTCCCATATAAATAGGACGGGGTGCTTGTCGTACCTATTAGGGTGAAAAAAGCGGTTGTGATACCTCTTAGGGTGTTTTTTTTCAAAATTTCTGACGAGCACCCGCCGTCCTTTTTATATGGGAGTGCCCCGGAACCAAAAACAGCAGCCAGTAAGAGTTAGACGAACGAGGAAATCTTGTTGACAAATCTTTTACTTCTCCTCGTTAACTGTCGACTTTTTGTTTGTTTCCACGAAGGTGCTTCACCCAAAATCATGGGTCTCACAATCGATGATGTAATGGAGAAGATCGGCAGTTATGGCCGATATCAACACAAACTTCTCCTAATCTGCGGTTTTATGAAGGTCTTCGGTGATGGTTTTCAGATGATGGTCCCAACATTCCTCAGCGCTGAACCACCGTGGCGATGTAAAGAAAACAGTTCTGCTTGTAATCTGACAGGAATCTTTAAACCGGGAGACAAAAATTACAAATTTCGCTGCTCCATTCCTCGAGATGATTGGGAGTTTGACACCAGTGACTTCAACTCAGTTGTGACCGAGGTAAAGTTCACTTTCCTCCGCGTACATTTGGTTTAAAATCTCCAGTTCACCCTCTCTAAAATGCAGATCCTAGGACTAATAAAATACAATTGTGCGAACCATTCTTTTACAGAGCGGCTACTATACAGAACTGCCGCTACGGGCTTGCGAAAGAACTGATTAATGACTTGTAATTCTCTTTTGAGCTGAACCTCGGCAGCACTTCCCGTTTCAGTCTCAAACCTACGATAATCCTCACCCCAATTCGCGACAGGATCCTACCCTGCTCTGATCCTTTCCACTGATTTTCTTTGCAGTGGGACTTGGTGTGTATCGTTTCGGCGTTGTCAGTCCTGACCAGAGCTGTCATGTTCTTGGGCTACATGATTGGCGTTCTTGTTGGTGGTGTAATATCTGACAAATTCGGGCGCAAGCCTCTCGTGTACTTCCTTTCTGTGCTGTGCAACATTACCATTGACTGTTTATATAAGCAAGATATTTTTCTCGGACTTAACTGAAATGCTATTAGCACGCACATGGTGTAAGATAATCAGTCTTATTTTTCACAGATCACATGCAAGTCGAGATACATATTTGTACTAAACTAAGATTTGTTTCAGGATTGGCCGGAAGAAAACTACTGTTCTTGGGGTGGTGGTGGCGTTCATTGTTTCCGTGGTTGCGGTTCTTTTCCAGCGAGATTTGAAGAACACAGGTACTCCTTTATTCAAAAGTTTAATCGAAATTAAATACAGGGGGAAGGGAATCATTGTATGGAGTCATAAAGGCAGTTGTGCTTTTCCTCATATATCATTGCATTTTATGAGGAATTCTTGGTTTCAATATAATTGATAACTTTTTACTGGAATGGGGCGGGGGGCGAATGGTCCCATTCCTTACCCCTACCTATTTACGAAGTCGTTGGATGCTTGCCTCACGTTGTTCTCGTTTAGATCCAGTAGGCCTGCGTTACCAGTCGGCTATGACAGGTGCACTTGGTGGGCCGCAGCCTACCACCGACACCCATTACCACCCTTTAACCTCAAGGCTTCGTAGAATAAAACAAAAGAAATCATATCAAGGTTGAGGAAAAGAAATTCATCGAAACTGTCCTATTTAGTTGTCACGGTTTTGACACTAATAGAGTAGGATACAATGCAAACTGAAACCATGCGAGGAATCAAGGAGGTATATAATGAAGGGCGTTTGCAAACGTTTTCTTAGTTTCGAAATATGTGTTGCGACATCCACCATCATATAATATTGTAATTTCATTTTTATGATTTAGCAACATCTAAACCTTAAGAAGGCTGGTCTGGCCAGCCGAAATATTGTTTTAAATATACGACGTTGTGCCAGCCTTGATGATGCTCGATGATCAGCTCGTGATGACAAATTACACATTATTTTGTGCTTCAGGTTTCATGGTGGCAAATATCATCATGGCTCAGGGTTTCGCCAAGTTTTTCATCAACATGGCATTCTCTTCAATCTACGTGTACTCAAGCGAACTCTTTCCGACTGTTGTAAGGTATTCATACGTTTTAAAGAAGCTAATTAACGTTGGATTTACGAAGACCGACTTTTGTTTGGAAAACTCTTGCGAGTCTGCGCCATCCTCTACTTTCTGTCTTCTTTTTTGTTTTCAAGCCCAATTCTAGAGCTTCAATTTTTTTCTTTCAAGTAACGCACCATCTACAGTTGGGTGGCTTCGGAGTAATGGGAGAATAATAACCGTATGATATTTATCGTTATTAAAAACTGGATCATTGGATAATGCAATTCAAGAGTTTTCATTGGCTTAGCCATCGTGGTATATGAGCCATAACACCATGCTCTGTAAATATGGTAAGCGTACGCGTATTTTTGTGGGGAATTTTAATTTTATTTTAGTCTTCTATACTGTTTTGGGGGCGTTCCTAATAAAACAATTATTCCACTCGCGCTTGTTGTATATGAGATGGTTCAGTAGCCAACTCGGCGCGATGCGCCCCGTTGGCTTTCTATCCCATCCAACCGCGCGCTCACGGAATAACTGTGTCAAGTTAATGTGTCAAGTAAAGATTTTTTTGATTTCAGGAACATAGGCATGGGAAGCTCTTCCGCTGCAGCTCGCATAGGATCTATGTCCGCGCCTTATGTTGTTTGGCTGGTATGTAGCTCCTTTTCACCGCTGTAGTTGTCAGACGTGACAAGGAACCTTCAGTGGGCGTATAGTTCAGACAGTT